AAGCATGTACCTGGTTCTGTGTCAGACTTCACGATATTCTTATCGAGAAAGGACACACACACACTGCCATGCTTTGCAAGACCGTCGACCAAGTTCCACACGCCGCTGCTTTAGGGTGTCGACAAGCTTACCGTCGACTGTAAAACCCAGTCGTTCCATGATCGGACGTCCAATTAGGACGTCGATTTCCATTCTCTTTTCTTCGACCCACACTCAATGTCCACGCAGCACCAGCGGGCCAATTGATGTTTCGAATGTTATAGTCTTGGACTCCACTAGCCACGAAACGTCAAGCGGCTAAGATCTTTGCCCATGAGGTTCAGTTGCAACGTTAGCCTCGTTTCAACACTGGGACGTCCACTAAGGCGCTTCAGCATCTGTTGTTCAACTTTTTACACTACCATTTCGTCATAACCAGAATCGAGCAACACTCGTGGCAGTGTAAGTACATCCGTTATCGACGCTGGGCACTCGATACTACTATACCTTTTCCCAATCAAGTTGCGCTCTTTTTCTAATCAAGTTGAATCGGATATGAAATATAAATTTTCACGAGAGATATGGACTGCAAAAGTTGGGATCAACATGAATTTTGTTCCAATCAAAGTGAACCACAGAAGCGCGCTATTTTGCGCCAAACATGTAAACTCTCAATGCACAATGATCATTTTCCAATCACCCAACTTGTCTTCGCATGAAAACACACAAAGGCCCCACCGCGGAGGAGAAGAAGCGTGTTCTCGACGCCTTCCTCCGCGGCGACAACTGGAAGCTCGTCGCCCAGCACAACGACATGTCCCTCGCCACAGCGAGGCGAGTTGTGAACACCGGTCGAACGACTATATGCTGCCACGAGGTGGCTTTCGACCCGCCAAGTCCAAGGTCACCCCCGAGATCCGTTCCGCTCTCGAGCAGTATCTAGACAAGAACTGTCAATACACTCTTCGTGAAATGCAAACCTTTGTTGCTGCCGACTTCGCCGACACTGAGCTCTCGGTCCAAACCATCAGCCGCCACATTTTGGGCATGCTGTACACCGTCAAGCAAGTGCGCATCGAACCGGCGACCTGCAACAACGACATCAACAAGCAGAAGCGACGTGAGTTTGCGCTCAAGCTCAAGCAACACCAAGACAACGGGGACTACATTGTCTATTGCGACGAGACGAATTACAACGTGTACTGCAAGCGGAGCTTCGGGCGATCCAAAAAAGGCACGAGAGCCACCGTCGTGCTGCCGCCG